ACTTGGAAAAAACCTAGAAGACTTTGCTTAAATGACAAATTTAGACTTGTCAAATCCGGCTAACCGTCCGGAATTATGTGTGGTGTGAGGTGAAGGTTAGCATTCAAATAAATTTATCCAAGTTGAGTTCAAGTGGAACGTAAAGTTGATGGGAGCTAGGAGAGTGTACCTGTCTGATGACCTCCAAGAAGGACGAAACCAGTAGTGTGCTGTCGACGAGTTTTTAGCAACCTTGTGAGTCATGCATTGCGTCTAGACATGGTACACCAGAAAATACCCAGGTAGGGATGTGTTTCCAGGGTGTGTTATATGCATACAGTAGTTCGTTCCTCTGATCAGTAATCTGATGTGATCGTATTCATGCCTTAGGTTAAACGGTGAGTTGTTAGACTTCTTGGCATGCTTTAGAAGTTCGATCATCTGGGTGAGCGACGATGGAAGGCCCGCAGGACATGTGGAAACATGGCACATTAAGGACTGCAGGTGAAACCAGTAGCTTGGACCAGATATCGGCCAGTGACATCCACTGGTATCAAATTAGTCACATCAAGCGTGTAAAAATCGGTGGACTTTAACAAGATTTTACAGAATTAGAGGAGCTCTGTATAAAAATAAATCTTTGTACGAAAGTCTGGCGGATAGAAGTAATCTCTAAAAGTTAATTTTCCATAAAATCCTGGTCTGGTTTTTTCTTCCGGTTGGATAAGGTATGTGGTCTTTGAATGTTGTGTTGAGTAGTATGTCTCACGTGGCTTTTTTGATAGTGTCAGGTATGTTCAGTTGAATGTCACTGAGTCTCAGCGAATTCGTAAGAAATCAGCTGCTGTCAGAAATCCAATACGCAACGTCAAGGTCAGCGCAGTGGCATTCTTTGAATAAATCGGGTCAGTGTTGAGCTCTGTGGTGAGAAAGCCTTTTGAAATTGTAGGATTATTCACAACGCAATGAAAATTCTGACAAGAGCATAATCTTTTTCATGAAGGGAACTACTCACAAGGTTGCTGAAAACACTTCGAAACTCACCTCCTTCTTGGGGCTCATCAGGTAGGCGCAGTTCCCGAGTTTCCGTCAACTTTATGTTCTAATTTAACCCGAATAGGACCGTTTTCGAGAAACACACTCATTTGCAAATCATTTTGCTTTTCACGAGAGACCTAACTGAATCGCTCATTTATGATATTCGACAACTGAATGTGCTGCACACAGACTGCCTCATGTTTTAGTTGGCGCGATATACGAGGTATCGCAGTATATCTTCATTAAGGAAATTACTCATAAGTTTGCTGAAAACCCTTCGACCGGTTTCGCCCTTCTAGGGGCTCATCAGGTAGGCGTAGCCTCCGAGTTGCCACCAAACTTATATTTGAATTGAAACCACATTGGGCTGTTTTCGAGAAATGCACTCATTTGGTAACCATTTCAACCGGACTTTCAAGAGGAAAGGACCAACTGCCTATGTGGGCTGTTTTCGAGAAATGCACTCATTTGGTAACCATTTCAACCGGACTTTCAAGAGGAAAGGACCACCCAGACTGCCTATGCAGGAAACGTGATTATCGGACTCCGATATTCCGGCAAGTAAACACCCACCACATAACCGAATGACTAGCCAAGATTGTAGCTAGCCAAATTGGCAATCTGTGGACCTTGTACGTCGAAGTTACCAGGTCGAATTTTTACGAGTCAAAAAATGTATGCAGGCAATAAGCCCCACGGATCTTGTCCCTTACCCCTGATAAAAACTTTCATTCGACACAGTGCAGGAATCCATTTTCCGTAATTTCACCCCGTCGTCGAATCTCTTCATAGGCTCATGCTCAAGCCTTCCCATACCATCTGAACAATTACGTTTTCTCTAGGATTTCGGTGAATTGCTCTTCACTTTCTGTTTGCTAGTTACTCTGTGTTCACTCAGGTCACCTGTGACGGATTTGTTGCTACTTTCGGCAGAGTCTCCAAAATGTGCAAAGGTTGCGCAGTTTGGCACTAGTGTCCTAAAAATTACTCCTATAATAGTTCCTTTTCTGATGGCGCCCACTTCACTCTGTAGCTGGAATATTTTTAGTGTCGAATTTCAAACAGTGCCCACTGAATTTAACTTGATGACTTTATAACCCCCCCCACACACACACACTCATTTACGTACTCTACCTGTGTGCTTATTGATTTTCACCTGTTTTGCTCGTTCATGGTCTTTGTACCTTGAAACGCGTGTAATCGCATCGTCTATCAAAATCGTGGGAAGGGTGACAGGAAAGGGTGACCATAACCCACACCATCGAACCAGCATTCCGCTCACCGTTATCCGGTTTGCAGAGCCTGACGGTGGGCTGCGTCGGTCAGTGGCAGACTTGCGCATTTGCTGAATAATTGTGCTAGGTTGTGTAAATTTGCTCAATTGTGTTCAAGTATTACTGTGAACTTTCGGACCCGTTTCTTCGATTTGATGTTCAGGATCCTCAAGCCTACGTATCGCCCAAATTTCTGCACAGGATATTCTTAAAGCAGGTCTTATTTAGACGTAAAACACTACTCATTAGATTACGGAAAATCTTGGATGGCTCATTACCGGGTTCGTACTACTTGGGGCTCATCGGGTGGGCGCAGTGCTTGAGTTTCCGTCAGCCTTATGTACTACTTGAACCCAAGTATGAATACATTTAGTTGTAAATCAATTTAGTTTTCACGAAAGATTCATCTGAATCTCTCGCTTATGACATTCTTCAACTGAATGCACTGCTCATTGGCCTCCTCATATTTCACTTGATACGACATTCGAGACATCGTTGTGTTTTCACAAAGAAAACTACTCAAAAGGTTGCTGAAAACTTTTCGGTGACCCACGGCCGGTTTATGGAACCCCAGAGACTGCGCGTACCTGATGAGTCCGAATAGGATAGAGATATGGCTTAAAGTCAGACATCGGAGTGGGAGTTGATCGGGTAGCCTCTTTCCGTCACCGAGGCACTGCCGGCTTGCAGATGATATATACTTGCCGATTCACCCCACAGAAAACGAAGCGTTGGAAATGGACTTACACCATGTTCACTTGAGTTTCATTTACCTACCAACTCTATGCTAAATTCGTGTTTTGACTTCCGGAAGAGTGGCGGAAAGAGAGGGAGTTTTCGTAAGAAAGCCAGCTACCTGATGACCTATTCTACAGTTGGACGTCAGATTTGTTCAATTTATCCCTGATTTGTGAGGTTGGTGCGGGCGATCGCCGCAGATAACTGTAAACGTTATCAAGAACGTGACTCTTCTGTTCACGTAAAAATCACGTTTTTGCTTAATCGGTATCATCGTATCAGTATAAGACCTTCGCTATTTGCAAAAAAAGCTACTGCAACTTTTCAGCCCATTTAATCTTGCTCAGAAAACAAACATTTACAAGGAATTTTCAGACGGATTTTGATTTTTCGGAGTGCTAAATTCTATGGGCAAAGATTTCTTCAATCATAGAGATAGAGGTCGAAGACACTGCCACCCTAAACTAGATGCATTTGGTTTTCTATTTCAACCAAAAGATTTGGTCACTGTAATTTCAAGATCGCTGGAATAATTCTTTTTGCATCTCAAACAGTTGGTGCTCTGCTGTTTCTCGAAAGAGAGGCAGCCTTCAAGCAGCATGCCCTCTTACCGGTAGATTGCATCCTTTAGCCCACAGTCGCAGGCTCTGCAATAACTTATTGGCTAATTCTGACTGGCTGTTCGACAGGTGTTACGCTTTTGTCTGTTCATGAATGGTCCTGGTTTGTGTTGTGGAGGTGGGCCAATATCGATGCTGACACAGGGGTATCAGTAGTCCCTTTTGTGGCACAGGCCAACTACCCGCTCAAGTTCGTACTGGTCTAAAATTTACTTGTACCAGCGTCACTATTCGTGTGACGAACCGCTGTGGCTTTAATTGTGTGAGCGAGTCATCTCTCCAGTGGGATAAAGTGGAGCGAATTGCCAGTTCAGGAGTAAGAGATTTAGGGATCTTAAAAATCCCGTAGGTGAATAGAGGTTAGTGTGTTTTATGAAGCATATAGGCCAAATAAGTTAGGATTGTTGATATCAATAAGAAAACTCTGATCTCTCTCTCTCTCGCATGTGCACCACGTAGTTTGGCTGTACCTCGTCCTAACTACGACAGGCTAAGAATCCTCAGAACCAGCTGAATGCACCAAGAAATGCACTTGATTCTGAGTGCAACCACAAGGCCATCGAAAGACAAAGTAGCCGTTGACTTTTGATTGGTGGGTTCATTCATGAAATCGTCGCTTTTCATTGGTCAAACGTAAATGCGTTGATTACGTTTCCAATAGGTTCGTCTGTTCACAGTCATGGCGTGCTTGTTCTCAGGTGGTCTGCATCCCCTAAATAACAATGCTTAGACGAATCACGGACGCACACCTCGGTCTCGTCTGTGAGCGTACATAACAGTGTTAGTAGCCAAATTTTCACTTAAACAGCCTCCCTTCCGGCTTACACTGCACTGCCACTTTACGCACTGATCAGATCCGACACGGTAAATGTGTGCCATGAGTGTAGGCGTGGCTAAGCCACTCGCACATTTTCAAATGCCGGTGTCCCGGATACACAAACTTCTCTATGTTCTTTTCATTGGATCCGGACTTATAATATTGAGCCATCTTGTTCCGTACGATGAGTTGTTCGGCAGCACTTTGGACCATGAATGGGAAGCGCTCATGAGATATATCAGTACCAAGTACACACCGAAACGGTGTACTACTCGGTTGGAAGAAGAAAATTTTCCAATAGCGTTCAGTATGTTAGTTTACAGAGATTTTGACAGAGCACTTCGACTGTTACGATCCATTCATCGGCCGCACAACTGTTATTGTGTACACGTGGACCGGAAGACGAGGAAAAAATACCGTGATGTGTTTGAAGAACAAGTGCGTAAATTGTACGGACCTGAAGTATTCCTGGTACCCTTTGAAAACACGACTGTTGTGACCTGGGGCCGCCTTTCTGTCTTGGAATCAGACTTACTGTGTAGTCGCATGCTTCTTGAACGATGTCCATCTTGGTTATACTGGATCAATTTAACCGGCCACGAATTTCCTCTGCGGACAAACTGGGAATTGGTAACTGCACTTAAACTATTGAATGGATCAAATGCCATTGAGGCAACACTCAAGTCACGGTACAGTACGCGGCTACCCACAAGCCATGATTTACCCTTCCAAGTGAGTAGTTATTCGTGAGTTTTTTTTGACGGTCATTTCAACGCAGTCCAAAAAAATGTAGAACATCACTCATTTGCAAATTAATTCGGTTTTCAAGAGAGACCCAAATGAATCTCTCGTTTGTGATACTCTTCAACCGACTGTGCTGCACCAGGCCGTCCCATGCTTTACTCGGTACGATATTCGAGATATCGTGATGTATTTTATGGACGTAATGCACTACTCATAAGGTTTTTGAAAACTCTTCGACAGTGCATGACCGGTTTCTCCCTTCTTGGGGCTCGTCGCACAGTTTCCAGCAAACCTCGATAACGCAGAATGAGGCTTTTCGTGACCCGACGTTGCTTACCTAAAGCCACTGAAAGCCCCTTGAATAGGCTTATTCCCTGGCTTTCCGGTAACCCTTTAGTACCACGTTTTATGTACAAGGATTTACAAACTCACTTGCAAATTCACTTAGCGTTAGCCGATTGTTACTCCACCACAGTGACACATGAAACCATCTTCCGTGATATTCTTCAACTGAATGTTTTGGACAGAGGTTGTGGCGTTGTTCGGTGCAGTCCTCGAGTTTTTGTCAATTCCAATACTATGCAGTTTACCAAGTAAACTCATTTGCTAATTAATTCAGTGTTAATGGGAAACTCAGCTGAATAGAGCTGAATCACTCATTTATGATAAGTTCCAAGGGGCATTAAACCATTCGTAGACGCGTTTTGAGCAACTGTGTAAGTAGTGTGTTGTGTCAAGATATCGTGAATAGCGTACCGACTGAAGCTATATCTGTGCATCACCACAACGACAGATTCAGATTAAGCTGAGTCTGTTGGTTTGTCTCCTGTCAAGCGAGATGGCTCAAGTGGTTAGAGCGCAAATTTCCCTGACCGGAAGGTTCGTGGTTCGAATCCGACCTCCGCCACTCGACTTCCCTCGTCTTGGCTTGGGCAACCTGGCAGTATGCCAGCCCTCGTACTTCCTTCGGGTGGCATGGCAGCTAGGCACCGGAAGGGTGCTAAAGCTGAACG